TAAATAAGAAGAGAGGTTGCTCCCTCTGCTTTGGTAATCCTCTGCAGCTCCCCACTGCCTGGCTCTGGAGCTCCAAAATCCTCTGCCAAGCCTGCAGCTCCTCAACCTCACCGTGGGTAAGGTAAAGCTGAGGTGTGGCTGGAATGCATCGCAGAAGTGTGACCAGTCCACTCAGCCCTTCCTTTGTTCATGGTGCACGGGGGCAAGGGATAAACCTGAAGTGAATTGTGTGGGTGGCCACTGTAGCAACTATTTCTTGTGCCTTTCTCAGCCCTTGGATTGCATCTTACCTGTAGAGCTCCACATAGAGCCCTGTTTCTTCCATGTCTCTGTAGACTGGTTTCCCTGGGCTTCCCCCTGCAGCAGCCTCCTGGCAGGAGCACAGTACTAAATTTGGTCATTCTTTACAAGAACATAGCCATTTACTCACAAACACAGACCAACAGGAAAAGAACTATTTCCAGAATACACATTTCATGGGGCAACAGGGCATTGGATTCCCATGGTGGCTGGGCAGGAGAGGTTGAAACCATGACCAGAGCAAGGTTCGAAAGATACAATTTTGAGTGAGGCAGGGTAATTGCAGGTTGATGATAGTCAGCTGAGGGCTTTTGTCTGTAGTGGTGTTTGTGAGGTGCCACAAAGCTCATTTTGCACTGAATGTATGGATGGATATTTACAAACCCACAGCAGCAAAAAACTCTGTCAACAGCATTTTGTACTACAGGCCTGCTTTACTGCTCAGAATAGAAACTTCTGCATTGGACAAGCTCCATTATTTTGCAAGTGTCCCCAAATCAGGATAAGGAACATCTGAAGCTAGAAACTGAACAAATTTTAACAAACTCTAGAATTAGATCCCTTGCTTCAAGGCTCAAGCATGCTACTACTACTGTGATCCTTTAAACTTGATGTTCACAAATAGACAAAGGGAATGTTCAAGGTCTGCTTATCTGGCACCTGTCAAAAGTGCTAAATTCGTTTAAAAAAATGAGTGCTGAAAGTGATGACAAGTGGAATGACACTGCATTGTTGACAATGTAACAACATTTCATATGAGGAACAGGGTAGCAGTTTCCCTTTGGAAGTGTTTCTTTGGAGAAAAGCATCATCTTTCAGTGATTTGGCACAGCAGTCTCCTCCCTGTGGATAGTTCATACATTGCAGAAGCTAATTTGCCAGGCCGTCCGCTTTAGATTCGGGCCCAGTATTGCTAGTAAACATAATATACGACTACAGCAAGACTAGGAAGTGCTTACTTGCATGAACTGATATTTGAAAGCACCTAAGTCGCAGGAAAGGCCTACAGAAGTGCAATTCTAAATGAAAATGAACCATCAGAAAGAAACTGCCTTCAAGTTAAGCACCAAGAAAATATGCCACAATTTGTATCCATAAAATTGTCATTTTTGCAGCACTGCTATTGCTACAATGCAGATTTTAAAATGATACCTTGTTAAGTTAAAACTGTAATGCTTTTAAACCTGTTATACATAACCTTAGTCAGATTAAATATTAAAGGTGTTGTTTACCTGCAATGGTAATCTGCTTAGCTCATGACCATTTTAAGAAGATGTGTGTCAAGCAGCACTACACTTACAGTGTAAGGTACCGGGGACTAATCCTGCAGGAGTCCAGTAATACCTGAGAGCAGTACAGTACTTGCATTTCTTAATAAAGTATGAAAGTATGAAGCACTGAGCACCTTTCAAGGTTAGTCAATATGCTCATGTTTTCTTTCTCTGAGCCTTCTTGGGGAACTCCCCCTAACTTTTCTACAAGCTTGGAAACATTAGCGAAAATGTATTCTACCTCAGTGCACTCCTGTTTTGTCACAGCTGTGAGTCCTTTGACTCATCAGTGCCATGAAGACCAAAGGAGCCTCGCAACTGGCTGATGATTTGTCTCAGGCATCCCAAAAAACGGTGGTGTCAAGTCACAGGCTGCAGTTCAAGAAAGCACTGAAGCACATCCTTCATTTTAAGCGTATATCTAACACTGCCTTCAGAGCACTTATGAGCTGAGTGCTTGTTGACTCAGTAACCGCTGATCGTTAATAGAGAAAGAAATGTGCATTTAGAGAAAGTACCTTTGGCCAGACCCTGGCCTGTGTTTTTGATGTGACTGAACTGAGATCAGAGTTGAAGTTGCAGGTGCTCTTGGACCAGGCGGGATGGAAATTGCTCAGCCTTCCGCAGGTGATGTCAAGTGTTTCACATCTGTCTTCATTGCGGTACAGTCTGGCAAGAAGAAGAATCTTTATAATCATAGCTAGCAGCTGTTGATGCTTTTGCCAAGGGGCTAAATATTATTTTCACAAAGACTCTAAGGCATTGGAAGTAACTTGTCTCAGATGATAGAGAAGGACAGTGATAGAGCTGGATAGACCTGAGGACTTCTCAGTCCCAGCCTGGTACTCTGCCAGTAAAGTCTTCTGCCTTTCAGGGACAGAAAAGGACAGAGTGCCATCCCAGATAGTGTGGGGTTGTGCAGCCCTGTGAAGAATGCCAAAAAGGCCTGTGGTTTATGTTTATCTGTAAATTGAGTTCTTGGTAAGTGTCAGTACCGATGTGTCAGTCTTGCTATGACTGCAAAGACAGCTAGGTCTGTGATGCTCTAGTTCTGTTCATTGCAACATCCATCATTTGGCAGCCATTTATCATCATCATTCTAGGGGTATCTATTTCACAGAAAATTCAGCACACAGTCCTACCACAACTACACTGTGGTTCTGTAGCAAGGAGTCATTGCAAAGGAAGATTTGGATATTGTTGTTTTTTAATTTTTAATTGCTTTTTAAAAATCTGTTAATGTAGGATGTGACAAATAAAAAATAGAGAGAGACATTGTTATATAGCTTTCATTGATTTTTAAGGAATGACTCAAAGAAATTGCTGAAAACACAAATTGTGGAGGCTATATGATGAGCAGATCTAAGAGCCATTTTAATATTTAATGAGACCAAAAGCTTCTCATCACTAATCATCTTTTAATGGCACTTGCCCTTTGGACGAGTGTATGTGGCTGCGTGTTTCTAAGGGACTAAATTTTCTACCTTTCTAATGAAATACCACTCAAGCAGGGAGTAAAGGTGGTGATTTGGAGCTGTTTGGTTGCCATGTTCGGTTTAGTTTGTGATGACGTGGGAAACTGGAGCTTTGTTTGCATCTCCACCTATTAATATGTTACTTCAAACTCTCTATGCCGTTAATTGACTTCTCAGTCAAAGACCGTTAAAAAAGTCTGCTGAATGGAGCCTTATGGCACTTCTGCCTGTTGGACAGGTAAGCAGTACAGTGGGGACAAATGGGCCTAACTGAGCAAAACACTTAAAAACGTGCATCCATCTTCTGTCAACTGAGTGCTCACATGTATGTTTTAAAGTTCAACTGAAAGCAGCAGGAGTTGAGTCCCCTTTTGAACAGCGCTTAAGCCTCTGCGCTGCAACTTGTATTGAGTCAGAAGGAAATCCACAGTGTAGCCAGGACTTAAACTTGGGAGTCCTGCCTTTCAGTTGGCATCTCCGACAAAAATAATCCTCATTCACTCGCGCAGCATCTCAGGAAGGGGGAGGAGGAGGTGTGCCTCGTAATAGACCACTTCCATGAAAGTTTTAGCATCACTTTCAATTTTGATGGGATCATTACTGAGCTTTGACTTGTGGCGCTGTATAGAACAGGGTTGAGTGCTAACAGTGATAGCTGTATTTTTGGTAGGCTGTGCTAATGCTCAGTTACTGACAAATAGCTGGAAACGGATGTTCTGAGTGATTTAGAAATAATGTGAACCCTGCCTGAACTTTTATTGGGTTTTTCTTCCATTTGCTGTTTCAACATTAGAACAAGGAGGGTATTATTTATAACAACATATGTAAAGTCCCACAAGGAGAAATGATATTTTGAACTGTCAGAATCTTGAAAGTGCAAATGTGGTTTCATAACTAAATATATTTTCAGACAGGAAAATGAGAATTAATCAAAAGCTAGATGTCCTTGAAAAAGCTTTCCTTTTTTTTCCTTCCTTGGAAATACTCACAGATGCCTCGATGCAAAAGTAGTCAGAATACCTGTATCACAGTAGCTCAGTTGGTTGCACTGTTTTAAAAATAGTGGATTTATTCATTGATTGATCCTATCACAGTGTGACATACTGGGAACAAGAAATAGTTTAGAGAATGGAAATAGAAGTAAAAGATTGTTTTTAGTTAAATTGAGGTTAAGTAACTCAATTTTAAGAAAGTGTAGCATTTTGAAGAAAATGAAGAGTATGTTAGAGACTTTCAGAAAGGCATTCGTTCAGGGAAAGACTCCTAGGGAATTCAGCTTGTATTAATTTGGGACAGGAGTTCATGTCCTGCAAGTTATTTATTATCAAGAGACTATCTAAAGGACTGAAAATTTTAGTGAAGCTGTGTAGGAGTGGGTAGTTAATGTGGAACAAAATCATTTCAGGCATTGATTAACTTTGTAAAGACAATATAATTGCTTTAGTTCGTTCAGAATTAAGATATTAAACCAAATAAATCCCGCTCCTCTTGAGTCATACAGTCAGACCGCTGTGTCTTCATGGAACTTTGTAGAAATTGCAGAGTTTCTGGGAGAAACATCATTGCAGATTTCATTACATGCATTTTTCACAGTTTCCTCAGTTTTAAAAGGGAGAGTAGAACTGGCGTAAATTAAATTGGATTGACAGGCTTGGTTAATCAGTAATTTTATGGAATATTCAGTTCCTTGAGTGGGGGACACCAAATAAATGTTGGAAATGTTGTACTTCAGAACCAATTCCTTAGGAGATTCTGTTGAGAAACCTATCATGGTAGTAATTGCTGCTCTGGGAGAGAGGAGTTTAGATCATGGCTCCCTGGTTCTTACCAGCTTAAGTGAATGGCGACAGACAGGCGAAAGGGCAATGTGGATTCCCCTGGTTCAGCATCTTGATACTCTTCCTCATAAGGGTCTAGAGGAATTATTTCTGACTCTTTCCTTTGTGTTTCTCAGGTTGGTGGTCACACCATGCTGCCCATTCGTTGGATGCCTCCAGAGAGTATCATGTACAGGAAGTTCACCACAGAAAGTGACGTGTGGAGCCTGGGGGTTGTATTATGGGAAATCTTTACCTATGGCAAACAGCCATGGTATCAGCTCTCAAACAACGAGGTGTGTATAAGGGAGGGTGACATTTTAATTGATGGTATGGCTTCTCTGTGGAAAGGACAGCAACAAATGTATTTAGTAAAATCAATAACCCTGATATCAAGTATTTATGGTTTTGTCATGAACGCTGTGGTTGAAGTTCATCTTTATCACCCTTTTCTCCCTGAGGTGGAAGGATGGAGGTTATCTAAGTAGACTGTACCAAGTTGGGATGTAGCTTCTTCCTTTATGTAAGAGAGAGTCTACTCTGGGTGTTGAGAAAGACCATGAGACAATGGAAAGGAGCTTACCTGTCTCCTGAATGGGCTTTAGGTGATTTCTGTTGCATATGAGGACATGTCATTGTCACAGAGTGGTTGTCCTAAACCAGTCTTCAATAAATTGAAGGATTCAGGAGATCTCTTGAGACTGATATGAGCAGCTTCCTCTTCTGTGGGTGAGTTCCATGTAACTTGCATGGCTGTGCTGATCTTTTCCTTGTGATTTTCGTAGGTGATTGAGTGCATCACTCAGGGCCGAGTCCTGCAGCGACCTCGCACATGCCCCAAGGAAGTGTATGACTTGATGCTGGGCTGTTGGCAACGGGAGCCTCACATGAGGCTCAACATCAAGGAAATTCATTCTCTCCTCCAGAACTTGGCCAAGGCATCTCCAGTCTACCTGGATATTTTAGGCTAATGCCTCCTAGTATTTCTTCTTATGGGCTGCGTGAATGAATGTCTTCAACTGCCGCTGAACTTCATTAAAATGTGTTCTTAACTTTGACAGTGTTAATGACAAAGTTGTGGAGAAGCTTTCAAAGGGCAAGCGATGTGCACTTCTCCATCTGTAGACACTGTATTGACTTTTTAGACATTACTGAGACATGTCTTTTTTCTCTCTCTCTCTGTCTTTCAGTTTCTATTATTTTTTTCCTCTCTCCTTTCTTTCTAATCGATTTGGCTTCTGCATTATTGTAACTCTGCATAGACAAAGGCCTTAAAAACCTGATCTGTTATATCAGCAGACTCTCCAGTTTGCCCACCACAACTAACAATGCCTTGTATTCATGCCTTTGATGTGGATGAAAAAAAGGGAAAAATATATTTGACTCGAACTTTGTGATTTCTGCTGTACAGATCCTGGAAGTTTCTATGGATTCACCTCAATTTTTTGCTTCGGCATGTGGGTGGAAAAAGAAGACTAGTGTTCTCTACACGAAGCATATTTCTTGTGGAGATAAAGCCAACTGGAAAGAAAACGGCATTGTGTGATCCACTCTCTGGAGGAACTATGGGATCAGATGGCATCCAACCCCACTAAAAAAACACTGAAACGATTTGATGGAAGGCAAGAGAGGATTTAGCGCTTTCCCTGGAGAGTCTTTCTGAGGAGTAAAGGGATTGTTCAAGGAGGTGCTTGGCCAGCACTTTTCATTACCAGATGCAAGTCTATGGTAAAAGGGAACGAGATGCTGCCTGCACTGCACACAAATATGTTACGTCACGATAAACAAAACATATGCCCTTATTTTGTCTTCTGGTAGGATATTGTCATGCCACTGGTATAAAAGTGTTCTCCAGCTCGTCTTTGGTAATAAAGGCTGAAGCTAGGCTTATTAATGGACAGTATTAATTTAAGAATCAAGTGCTGAAATTAAGGATTCTGTTAAGATAGGACAAACTATTGATGCTGGGGCAGGTGTATCTTATACTGTGCTTGTCCAGCAGCATATTCCTTCCTTTCTCAATCCTTTTCCTTTTCCTTTTCTTTCTTTTTTTTTTTTTAAACCACGAAGCCAAAACTGAGCGTGGTCTTTGTCGATTAATGCCCTTTGTGCAGAAACTCCTTTTGTAGTATAGCCTTGTAGGCATAGCAAACTCATAATGGTATAACTTGTATTTCATTAAATGGGGTTAATGGAGGACATAAGCTATGTTAAAACACCTTTACAATGTTACAGATGTAATAGGCTGATATTACATGAGTAATCTAAAACAGGGAGATCACTGGTTATGTTTGAGCCATGGCAGGGGATA